GGGGAGGGGACAGGGAGGGCGCTGGGGGGCAGGGATGTAGGAGGGATGGGGGGGCTGGGAGGCGGTGCGGTGGACAGGGAGCACTGGGGGGCAGTGCAGGAGGGGGAGGGGATGTGGTGCAGGAATGTAGGGGAAACGGAGGGGACTGGGGGACAGGGCAAGAGGGGGACGGGAGGCCTTGCAGGGGGGTAGGGAGGGCGCTGGGGGGAGGGGACAGGGAGGGCGCTGGGGGGCATGTAGGAGGAGGCTGGATGGGGGCGGGAGAGAGCGGCGGGGTGTGAAGGGGGAGCAGGTCCGTGCACACGAGGGAAGGGCTGGTGCCTGGTAGCAGGGGACTCGAAGGCAGAGCGCTTGCGGCTGGCTAATGCACCGTAGCTTCGCGAGGCGCTGGCTCTTTCTGTAGACAAGTCTTAAGTCGGTTTCTGGTCCATGCCGGCTGAGTGTCCTTGCAAGCAGCGTCTGGACAACCACCTTTTGAAATACACGCGATGACGGGTTGATCTTGCGCTGCCGTTGCACTGACAGGCCCAAAGAACAGGAATGGTTTAATGAGCCAGGATTTTCCTCCGCTGGTTATTTGCCATCATAGAGACCACGTGGGTGAGGGCATATCTGTTGTTGGACCAACTTCCGTTGGCGAGAGATACCTCGAGTTTACATGGCTTGGCTTCATTCTGAGAAGTGAGTGTCACAGCTAAATACAAGGTGGATCAGATTGTTGAGCATCAGTAGTTAGCACATATTTCAAGGGACCATTCAAGGTGAAGTGGGCCTGTTAACGCCTCTCCAGTCCTAAGGCCTGGGGAAAAGCTGGAGGTGAGGGGCGGTTAATGGGTTACAGATTGTTGTAATAAGCCATAAGTCCAGTGTTTCTGTTCAGTCCATTTTTAGTGTCTAGCAAAGTTGTGACTTTAAGCTCCCAGGCCTGTCGTTTGCAGGTGTTGTGCAGGTTTCCTTTGAGGATGGCGACTGAGAGGTCAGGTATAGAGTGACGGTTGTGAACAGTCTTCACCCACGGGTGATGCGGCGTTGTTGTCTTTTGTCCTTTTTCTGTGTAAGTTCATTTGAGAGCCTAGTGATTCCCATTTCACCTGAGAGAACCTGATTTAATATCGAAATAACCTCCCTTGACTGCACTCCCCTAGTTGTCACCTACCATCCCAGGGGAGTGGACTAGATGACCTCTCGAGGTCCCTTCCAGTTCTATGATCCCACACTGGAACCCATAAGGGCTATCATCAAACAGTTACAATCCATACTCGGGTTGTATGGGGACCACATCCTGAAAGAAATCTTTCCTGAACCCCCTCTTCTAGCCTTCAAACAACCCCCCAACTCTCCAAGTTCATCAGAAGCAACATCCACACAGACCAGGACACACTAGCTCAAAGTGGCACCAGATCCTGCCGGAACAACAGATGCAAAACCTGTGGACATATCTGCCCTACCATGATGATCAACAACCCTCACAACACACCTTTCAAGGGCCATGATTCCTACACATACCTATCACAATATGTGGTGTACCTCATCCAAATGCCCCAATAATAAATATGTGGGTGAAACACAGAACTGACCCCTGCAGGACCCTACCAAATATGCCCTCCCAGTTTGACAGTGAGCCATTTACTACGCTTGCCCTTCCACAGTTGTTTAGGACCTCATCTGTCCTCCATAAATGCTTGAATTGCTAACGGTTCTGAGATTGCTTCCACTAGTTCCTTAAACACCCTAGTATGAATTTCATCAGGCTCTGCTCGCTTGAATACATCTACCTTAGTTAAATATTCTTTAACCTGTTCTTTCCCTATTTTGGCTTGTTTTCTTTGCTGTTAATTTGAATTGTGTTGAGAATCTGGCCACTATTAACCTTTTTAATGAAAACTGAAGCAAATTAGGCATTAAACACTGTCTTCTTGATGCCATCAGCTATTAGTTCTCCTTCCCTGCTAAGTAGAAGACCTACACTTTGTCTTTCTTTTGCTCATAATGTATTTAAAGAATCTCTTTTTATTGCCTTTATATCCTTTGCTAGGTGTAACTCTTTTTTGTATCTTAGCTTTTCTGACTTTTCTCCCTACATACTTGTGCTGTTCTTTTGTACTTCTTAGCAATTCATCCATGTTTCCGCTTTTTGTAGGATTCCTTTTTGATTTTCAGGTCATTAAAGAGCTCCTGACGGACCCATATTGGCCTCTTACTATTCTTCCTACCTTTCATTCATATCGGAATAGTTGGCAGTTGTGCATTTAATATTGTATCAGTGAGAAATTGCCTCTTCTCCCGAATTCTTTTATCCCTTAGAGTTTCGTCCCATAAGACCAAGTATCAGAGGGGTAGCTGTGTTCTTCTGGATCTGTAAAAAGCAACAAAGAGTCCTGTGGCACCTTATAGACTAACAAATGTATTGGAGCATAAGCTTTCGTGGGTGAATATCCACTTCGTCAGATGCACGTGAGTATTCACCCACGAAAGCTTATGCTCCAATACATTTGTTAGTCTATAAGGTGCCACAGGACTCTGTTGCTTTTCCCATAAGACCTTACCTATCAGTTCCCTGTGTTTGTTAAAGTGTGTTTCTTGAAATACATTGTCCTTATTCTGCTGCTCTCGCTCCTTCCTTGCCTTAGAATCATGAAATCTATCATCACTTTCACCCAAATTGCTTTCCACCTTTAGATTCTCAACCAATTCCTCCCTGTTGGTCAGAATCAAATTTAAAATGGCTGCCCCAGGTTACTTCCTCCTCTTTCTGAAACAATACCCTGTCCCCAGTACATTCCAAGAACTTACTGGAAACGTATTTTGCTGTATTACTTTTTCTGCTGATGTCTGGATAAAGTCTCCTGTTACTGTTGTTTGTATGTGTTATACATACAGAGTTTCTTTTGGGTTTCAGGCTATTCCTGCTCTGGAGTTTGCTTTCAAAAATGAACGGATCACTCTGGCAGTTGTGGGCGCTGTCATCAATCCTCCTATGGTGCCAAAAGGGAGTATCTGTAAAGAGCTGAAAGTGTACCCAGCAGAATGTAGAGGACGCAGAAGCACCTATCGTGGGAAACTGACCGTAAGTAGTAATAGTTAGAATAGTACTTTCAGGGAATGAAAAAAGACGGTTACTCACCGTTGTAACTGTTGTTCTTCGAGATGTGTTGCTCATATCCATTCCAAAACCGCCCTCCGGCCCACATCTCGTAGTAGCAC